AATTGAGGCATGTTGATATCAACAATGCCTTTCTTAATGGAGAGTTGAAAGAAGCCATTTTATGCAACAACCTCCAGGGTTTGAACAGATGGCAGCTGATGGTACGTCCATCGTATGTATATTTCAGGAAGCGTTATACGGGTTGAAGCAAGCTCCCCGTAATTAGCATGCCAAACTAAAAGATGTGCTGCTTCAAATTGGGTTTCAAGTTTCTCGAGCTGATATTTCCTTGTTTTTTTACCAATGTTGGTACTGAGTGTGCTTATCTTCTGGTATATGTTGATGACATAGTCATTACAGGTTCATCATCCTCTACGATTGCTGATGTTGTATGCATGTTGCGTGAAACATTTTTGCTTAAAGATTTGGGGTCTCTTAGTTATTTTTTAGGAATTGAAGTAAAACGGAGTAATGGCTCGTTGATTCTCAGTCAAAAGAAGTTTATCTTGGAGCTTTTGGAAAAGGCGGGCATGAAGAATGTTTCATCATGTGCTACGCCTATGGTTCTTGCACTTAAATTGGCTGAGGATGGTGAGTTACTTGTTGATCCTAGTATGTATCGATGCATTGTTGGATCGTTATTGTATGTATGTCATAGCAAACCTGATCTAGCACTTCGTGTTGGAAAGGTAGCTCAGATCATGAATTCACCTCGTGAAAGTCATTTGGTAGCAGTAAAACGCATTCTTCGTTATCTTGCGGGAACTGTGGATTATGGTTTGATTTTCTTGCCATTTGATTCGAGGTTAATAGTTTCAGCATTCGTTGATGCTGATTGGGGTGCAAATATCACTAATCGTCGATCAATTTCTGGTTATGGAGTGTTTCTTGATAATCACTTGGTTGCATGGAGTTCCAAAAAACAAAAATCTGTTTCATGATCAACAATGGAGGCTGAATATAAGAGCTTAGCTGATGCTACAACATAAGTCACTTGGGTAAGTACGCTATTAGCTGATCTTGGGTTGAAGCAGCATGGGAAATCAATGATCTGGTGTGATAATACAGGAGTTGTGGCAATGAGTGCTAATCCAGTTTATCATGCTCAATTGAAACATGTAGATCTTGATGTGCATTTTATTCGTGAAAAGGTGGTTGCTCAACAATTATGTGCCTGCAGCTCATCAAGTTACTGATGGTTTTACTAACCCTTTGGCTAAAGTAGCATTTGAAGTCTTTCGAGAGAAGATTGGAGTGCAATCGTGTTCAAGACCAGAAGATCATAAGAAGTAGATGGAATGTTAGCATGATTAGTCAGCAACAATTCTCGTACTGCATTGCATGGTGTATGATTATGGTTGTTATTGAAGTTGTAGCAGCAGTTAAGTTTGTTAGCTCAGTTGATGATGACCTCAAGATTTTTAATAGTGCTTCTACCGGTTTCCAGGAGGTATTAGACCGGGATACAGTTGGACCTCCTTATATCCACCTTTTTTAATTCGCCTAACATTTTTTTAGGCTCATTTCAATTCGGGAAAAAATATTAGCCAAACAAACCATGCTTGGTATGTCAAAGTGTTAAGGGATTTGACGTTGATTAAAATCTTTGTTTATGGTAACTTTTGGTTTTGCTGTGTCTATTACGGTAACGAACATAGCAGATGCTATTAAGATGATTGCAAATATCATGATTATGCAATAATAATTTTCAGATAGGACCACTATTTGTATATAGTGAATAGTATTATGATAACTGACCGTTATTTAAATATCTACTGCTGATATGATAGAATTATTGTTCCACAGATCCGAATTGGTTCGGGAAATGAATTAATTATTTAAATACCGCACAATAACTGATTATTATCTGAAGCGTGTAATTATTTGTAGTAATGATAATTGAGGAATTTTTATGATTGGGAAAAGAACAAATTATATGTCCACTGTTACCTCAGCATTGGAAGATGATAAACTGGTTTGAAATTGACATGAGGAATTCCTATATTATGCCATTGATGTCCAAGTATCTAATCATAAACTTGAATTCATTTCTATTGAATAATACAAATAAAAAGGAAAAAGAATCTTATACTATTTTAAAATAAAATTTCTATGCTAAATATTTTTATCTTATTTACTAATTTATCCTCATTTTATCCTTGTAGATATTAAACTCTAACTTATTTAGTTCATATACTGAAATATATTTGTTTTTTTTTTTTACAATTTTTCTCCTTCTATTTTATCTTCGAAAAAGAACAATTTTAAGCGGGTTCTTCCTCTTTATTTCGAGTGTATAATGTTTGGAAGATTGTGTTAACCTTAAGGAGCAACATCCACTTATTCGCAAATAATCTCTTAATTATTAATTAAGCTTTTAAAGTAGTCTTTAAGCACAATATAGGTTGAGACAAGCCATAATATTTAAAGACTAAGATAACCATTAAAGCATAATTTATATTTTTTAGTAGTTTTGTTATAAAACATATTAAAAATGGGAGGAAATATAGCGTGCAAATCATAAACGGTTAAAAAAGAAAAATGTGAAAGTGCATGTCTATGATTTGTTCTAACAAATATATGATATTTAAGGGTGTCTAGTGCATCACTTTTCTTTCCTAGAAACCTTTATTCTCATTATTCTACATCACAAATACTATGAGAGTTGATACTCTTTTCAACTTAGTAAAATAAGTTAAAAGTAAAATTTAATAATCTTATTAGGATAAAGTTTTTGGTCATAGCAAATGAAAATAATCTCTTCAAAGTCAATGCTTCAAAGTGTATGTCTAGGATTAGTTCTAGCAAAAACTTAATATTCAAGAGTGGTTATTTTGATATTGTGATTTTGGTAAGATTAATAAGTTATATATCTTCATTTTTATTGAAATATTCTATGTTCATTGATATGTATATGATGATGTTGGAGAGGTATCTTAGACAAAATCGAGCCTATAAGGTCCATATGTGCATCTTAGAGTTATGAGCTCAAGAACAATATTGATAAATTATGTTATTATATTATTATGCTTATGGTTACCTTATCGATTTTAGAATATAGTCGGCATTCATAACGTTTGTATGCGTATAATAAGACTAAACAAATTATAAAATTAATATCATTCACGTCATTTACAATTAGATTAAAGAATTCCACGTTAAAGTATTTTAAAATTTAATTAGAGTTCTAACTTTTATATATTATGCTTATTTAAATTTAAAGTGTTTAGTGATATGACGAAAATCATATACAAAGTTACGTTTTTGTTCCATTTTGATCACTTGTCGTTAAATAATTAACGACGATATTAACGTGTCACCGTAAGATAATATAACGTCATCATTGAAAAAATAAAAAATTATCACGTTAGTAATTTTGTTTATTTTCTAACGACGGGTGATCAAAACATAACTAAAACATAACATTATGTATGCTTTTTTAAAAAAATGGTTAGATGACAGAACCAAAGAGATAGTTGAATGACTAAACACATTCAAAGTTACGAAATTGAATTTAGGGTATATATGTACTAACTTGTTTGAGATCATTATCATACTACTTATTATTAGTTCTTTCTTAGCATAAGTTTCATTTCTGCAGCCTCCTTCACACCATCTTGATCTCTAAATATTTCGAATTTGGCTCGATGATTGGACTACCATTTTCGAGATTCGAACTATAGGAGAAGAAAGGATAATGAGCAATGTCACATTTTAAAAACGTGAGTTTTTCTATTTTAATTTCGAAATCCGATTAGATAAAAAGAAAGAGGAAGAGAAGAAGAGTCGTTTGATAATAACGGCAATCAAAGAAAATTGTCGGAACGACAATGATGACAGTGACTATGTATGAGGGACAATTAGGGTTTATGTTTGAGAAGAAAAAGAAAAAAAATTAGAAGATGAAACAAGAAGAGAGAAGAAAAAAACAATAACGCGTGAAAATTATTTGGATTGGATAAGATAAATTTTGATCTTAAATTTATGAATGAGTGAAATATCACACTCACTAAAAACGAATCGAAGTTGAATGAAAAAGATCTTTTATCTCGAATCGAAATCGAAATCATCAAAAATCCGACCCGTCCGGAGGGTATCCATCCCTATGTCCCCTCCAAAGAACCAATAACGATAGGCATCTGTGTCTTTATCTGCATGCCAATAATTACGAGTTCAACTGGCTTGAGCTTAGTGAACAAGGGCAAAACAGCCACAAATTAAGGTCATTGTGTACCAACACTTTTTCTGTTAACTTCAAACCATAATACCTATCCCCTGACACAATTCTCAGCTTCCATTATAGGGAAACGTCCTTCTCCATATAAATAATGCAACAATATTATATATATATATATATATATATCCATATTGAGTATATATGCATTACGATCCAGGTAATATAAGAGCTCAGATAAGATGATAAATGCGAACAATTTACAACCCCACATTTTTTCCTTTAAACATTCGTTTTCAAATTGAAGTAGCTGTAGTCACTGACCACGAAAACTGCCTTGCGACAGAGGGAGAGCAAGCCAAGTTGTGTTTCTCATGAATTCATTGCACAAATGATAATGATAGAGCCTGTTTTAGGACGTGTGTTAAAATTTAAATGATCGTCAGCCACAAGATGAGATCAAACACTCAAAATAAAAGGTCTGAATGTCAACAAATGATTCATATATATATGATGTCAAACAAAAGGGAAGAAATGGGGAAATTATATAAAGATCTTCATTTTGTCAGTAGGAATGAATGAATTTAAGAGTGTGGGGTCTGCAAAGATAAAGAGCACTAGCTGTAGCTAGCATTACTGGGAAATGAGAATGAATAATTCAATTTGGTGGGAGATATACATCGAAACATCTTGTTGACATACGTTTATGCACAACCACGAATTTCGGAACCTCTCAAATCTACTTATATCGCTTTTACTTTGTGTAACTGGTACACTTTTTTTAAAAAAATTGCAGATACTGATATTTGAACTTCAAGTCTATCTCGGGTTTCACTTTATTTCTCTTGTCTCGTCTTTTTTTTCCCTATAAGAAGGGTCATCTCTCGTTCGTGAAGCTGGCAAGCCTGAGAGAAGAGTAAAAGAGTGTGAGATCAAAGAGAGAAATAATGGGAGGCCAATCTCTATGTGCAGCTTTGTCCAACGTGTTGGGGAAATTGAAACTATACCTTGCAATGGTTTCCCTGCAGTTTGGATATGCAGGGATGTACATAGTCTCCATGGTATGTTTGAAGCATGGCATGAGCAATTTCATCCTCGCCACGTATCGACATGTAGTCGCCACCATTGTAATTGCACCCTTTGCCTTTGTTCTCGAAAGGTTTCTCTTCCTCTCCTCTTCCCTTAATTACTGATTTAAATTGCAGTCGCAATCCCCAGTAATATTAGCAGCAACGAGAGTCGAAACTGCAAAATAAGACTGTAAGGTTACCTTGTTGACCGGATATAAACTACCTTTAGCATTCTTTTATGCAGGAAAATAAGGCCAAAGATGACCCTCCCTATCTTCCTCAGGATTGTTGCTCTTGGTTTCCTGGAGTAATGCTCTAAATTCCCTTCCATTTGCACCTTTATGCAAATTATAAATACATATTTGCATACACACTCATATTTATATACATATATTTTTCTTGTACGTTACAGGCCAGTGCTTGACCAAAACATATATTATGTGGGAATGAAGTTAACAACAGCAACATATGCAGCAGCTTTTGTCAACATGGTTCCTGCTGTTACCTTCGTATTTGCAATGATTTTCAGGTGAGCAAAGGCATGCCATTTCCCCCTCATCATGTTTCATCAATGAGATTAAAGGAAATTTTCGGTGTTTGATACACGACGACAATGTCGAATTCAGGTTAGAAAAGGTGAATGTGAAGGAGATAAGAAGTGTGGCAAAGATCATTGGAACAACAATCACCGTCATGGGAGCAATGGTGATGACCTTATACAAAGGTCCCATTATCGACTTCATCAAGTCAGGGGGAACTATTCACCATGGAACCGCCGCCGAATCCGCAGATAAAAACTGGATTACTGGCACAATACTGCTTCTTGGAAGCACCTGTTGCTGGTCAAGCTTCTTTATTTTGCAAGTGAGTCCGAATCCATTTAACCTTTGAATAAAACAACGAAAGTTGATGGAACTGAAAACTACTTTTTGTTTGATCTAACACTTGGTTATGGATTCTGTTCAGTCCTTCACATTGAAGCAGTACCCTGCAGAGCTCTCTCTCACAGCAATGATATGTTTCACGGGGATGGTTGGAGGTACAGGTGTGTCACTCATCATGGTTCGCGATCTAAGTGCGTGGAAAGTCGGTTGGGACTCGAGGCTTCTCGGTGCAGCGTACTCTGTAAGTGGCCCCAACATAGCCTCTTTGCTTGGCAGCCATGATCATGCACATAAAACACTAGTATTTTATGCTTCTGATATCAAATCTGTGACTGATTAGGGGATATTTTGCTCCGGGATTGCATATTATCTGCAAGGATTCTCGATCAAGCAACGAGGGCCGGTTTTCGTAACATCATTCAGCCCTCTATGTATGATCATCACTGCAATACTAGGAGCCATTATTTTAGCAGAAAAAATCCACCTTGGAAGGTATGGACAATGGTGCAAAGTGATAATAACTTCCTCTTTCGTTTTTACGATAAACATCGACACCAAAAGCATATATTCCATTGTTTTTTCTCTCTTTTTTAAATAATTTCAGCATTGTTGGAGCGATTATCATAGTCACAGGCCTTTACACAGTGGTGTGGGGCAAAAGCAAAGATGTGAAAGACTCAAAAACAGATGAGAAAAGCAATGCCCTGCAGGAACTGCCGCTCACAGGCAGTCGGTAGATCAATCACAGTTGAAGGTGGGATTCTCATTAATGGAAGTAACATAATCTCAAAGGCTTTCTTTTTTGAAAATTAACATAATGTCTTAAGACTTCTAGTATTAAGATTGTTGGGCCTACTTTGGCATTAGACCTTGGCCTTATATGATATAGGTATAAACATTAATAATGTATGGATCAAATCTGTATTATCATTGTACTATGGTTGTAGTTTAATGAAAGCTTTGATTATTACCTTAAAGAGAATCTGTTAGTAGTAGTAGTTGTTAAAAGTTAAAACTTGGGACGGTCAAAATATCTAAATTCGACGGGTCTTGACCCGATCCTATACGGATGTTTTTTTATATATATATTAGGGTTTGGGGCGAAGCGGATTATATATTATATACTTTCAGGGTGAGGTGGGATCGAATTTAAGGTAAAAAATCATTGACCCGACCTAGACCGATAAAAATTATTAATTTATCCTTTTCTATATATAATATATTTAAGATTTTAATTTTTTAATTTTTATATTATTAAGATATGTTCTTTAATTATAAACAAATATATAAATTATTATAAAATATATTATTTTAACCGTTTAAATATAATAAATGATTATAAATAATTATTATAACATATATTATTTTAACTATTTTAAAATATTAATATATTTGGATTGGATTGGAGTTATAATCTAAAAATCAGGACAGGTACGAGACGAAAAAATAAGCCAGAATTCAGGGCAAGACGGGATTGGATATAAGCAATATATTTTCAGGTCGGGATGAGACGGCTAAAAAACCAACCCACCTCGCCTCGTGCCCATCCCTTGTTCAAACACCTTGTTAAAATTAAATGTAATTTATCAATGACTTTCTATTAAATTTAAATATTTAATTTTTTTTATTAATATGAGGTAAATGCATGATAATATCTATTCAAAAACTTTCAATCATTTGACAATGAACATTAATACCCTTGACACACACGATGCTTGAACCTGAGACTTCAAGATATAACAACAAATCTTTAACCATTAGGATCACTTAGTTCGTGCATTTAAATATTTGATTTTGAAATACTTTTTTATTAATTATAATATATTTATTATTTTAAAAAATTAAAACAAATTCAACTGTTATGATTAATTTTTTTTATATTATTATTTGATACATATAATGTATAAAATTTATTTTACATGGTCGTGTTTATTTTAATTATGTATCCTATAATCTAAAATCTTAAACCCTAAAATTTTAAACTTTAAAATATAAAATCCTAAACTTTAAGTAACACATATGACATTGAAATAGATAAACTTGTGGACATTTATTTAGATAAAGTTTACATATTGTTTAGACATTTAGATATTCTATACATTGTCATAGCCCTGATTTTCTATGTATTCTCTTATTTTTCTTTTAATGTGTCTCTTTAAACGATAGTTTAGTGTCTTCGTTTTTCTTTTCCTTATTTTCTTTTTTCCTTTTTACTTAATTTTTTTATTATCATCCAAATAAAAATACTTCTCGTTTTAATTTATTTTTTCTGGCATATTCTTGATACATTTGATTTTGTTTACTTTTATTGCACGGTTATTCTGCTGCATTTATGAAATGATTTTGTCAGTCGTTATAAACTTACGATAATCTATCGTTTTATGTTGTATTCATCACGGCGCACCCCCTAATCAAGAAAGGAATGTAACCCCCTAGACCCGGCCTATGCGTTTCGACTAAGTCTAGTGGATCACATACATGATTCTTAAAGACATTTTTTGAAACCGTTATCCAATCAATGTAAAACCACATTATTCATGACATGAAATTATAATAAATTATACTATTAAAACTCAACTCTTAAATATAAAACCAATCAATAATAAATTAATTTAAAACATATCTTAAAAATCAAAACCACGATAAACTGAATAGTTTTAGCAAAAGTATCATAATTATAAAATCCAATACTTTAAAATAGATCCATGTCACCAGAATAAAGTCAACTTGAAAGTTTAAAATATTACAATCAGATATACTTCAAGAGATATGTTGATCCTCCAAGTGCTCGAACCGAGGTATCTAACCAACAATATCTGAAAGGGGAAAAACATTTTCGAAAGGTGAGCTAGGCTCAGTGTGTCCCAACATTACCATAAAATCACAATAGGTACATTAAACAAATCATAGTCCAGTAAATCTCACAAATTCGTAAAAGAGTTTAACTTTTGAAATTCATAGTTTAAACCCTTTTCTGGTACACCATCAGTAGTTCCCAAAATTATTTTCCATATAGCTTACTTTATGCACATAGCAAAAAGAAAGCCGACTTAAGGATAGACTATGAAGCTTGTATCCTTAAGCCCAAGTCAATAAGTCCATATAGCTTACCCTAAGCACACAACAAAGGAAAGCCGACCTAATGAAACATCTTGGGGCCCTCAAGAGTCACATTAGGCCCGTTTATTAGCTTGATCAGAGCTATACAATTGTAGTTCAATCCATCCCAAAATCAATATCCATATACCAGTCATCAAGGTCCATAAATCATCAACAATAAATCGGTGTACCAACAATAATAATCCATAGATTTCAATGTACCATATTTCAAAACATATAAAACCATTATGTAGTAAACAGGAACACACCTCGATAATGGGTTCAGATAGTAGATCTATTGATTGCTGGTTTCACCACGCTCTGCTACAGTTTTTGAACGGGTGAATACTGGTATACGTGGTTTAACTGATCTAGAAGAGCTGGGTCGAGCTGTCGAACGATCCGGAGAGTCTCTTGTACCTTCAAACAATAATAATTAATCAACCCCAAATCTTACTTAATTGTTCAAAGCTAAAATTCTTAAGTATATAAGCATTTTTCGGGTTTGACTATTATTTTGGGGTATTTTGAGTCTGAATTTGGCCAAACGGATTGCGGAATCGGAATCAGGACGTCAAAAAACATAAATTATGAATTTTCAAAAATTCAGATTCTTGGTCAAAGTCAACCACTTTGACCGTCAATTTGGAGGCCTTCGGGTTCGAATTTGATGAAACTGACTTCAGAAACGGATTTGGGACGTCGAAAACTATCAGAATAGGTATACTCGGAAAAGATTTACGGTCGTTTAAGGGTCGGTCAAAGCCATTTTAAGTTTTGGTCAAAGGAAGTCAACGGTCAACGGTCAACAGTCGGGTCGGGTCAGTCGGGTCAGACCGGTCAAACCGGTCGAAACCGGTCAAACCGGTCGAAACCGGTCAAACCGGTCGAAACCGATCAAACTGGTCAGAATCGGTTGAAAACCGGTCAAACCGGTTTCCAGCCCTCCACTCTCTCTGCAGCGGCGCGTGTGGCGCGTGAGGCCTTCTCCGGGGGTTTAAAAATTCCGGAAAAATTTCTAAAAATTATTTTAAGCGATTTCGAGATACTTACAAAGATCGGTTCAAATTTTTGAACGGCGAAGAGCTCGATTTCAACTCGGCCGAATCTTTGACTGCTCCACCTCCTCACGCGCCGCCGTAGACGGCGAACAAGGTTGACACCGGCGGACTCGAAACGATACAAGGAACACGATGGTGCAGGAGGTGTCGTAAACGGAGCAACGATCGGCGGTGAATTTAAGATTTTCCCGGCGATAGAGCTAACAAAAACGTCGAGACTTTGACTGTAAATTCCCGACGTTTGGCAATGTTTCGCTTCAATTAAATTGAAGGATTTGTTCCACGCTCGATGATGAACACAACGGTGGTTTTAAAACGACGATCGGAATTTGGACGACGTCGAAATCGGAGTTGGAAACAGCGTATGAGAAAGGAAAATTGGGAGCATTTTGGTTCTGAAAATCAGAACCAAATGCACGCTTATAATCACCCAAAGCTGCCGACAGTTTTAGGGTAAATTCAAGGCTTGGTCCTTGGATTTCCTTCACTTCTAAAATAGCCTATAAACTCTCATAAATTTTGATTTAGTCACCAACAATTTAATTTTCACAATTAACCTCCAATTTCAATTAAATATTATTTTATAAATATTCGGGTTGTTACAATTCTTCCCCTCTACAAGAAATTTCGTCCTCGAAATTTACCTTATGAGAACAGTTGAGGAAACTGAGCCTCCATTGACTCCAATGTCTCCTAAGTAGCTTCTGAGAGGCCTCGGTTACTCCATTGAACTTTGACCATTGGAATACGCCTATTCCGAAGAACTCGCTCATCTCTTTCTAAGATTTGAATGGGCTCCTCCTCATATGATAAATCAGGTCTCAGCTCTACTTCCTCAACCTGAATGATGTGACTTGGATCTGGACGGTATCACCTTAACATAGACACATGAAAAACATCATGAATACGACTAAGATGGGAAGGAAACTCGAGCTGATAAGCAACAGGTCCAACTTTTTTCAGAATACGATACGACCCAATAAATCGCGGACTCAGTTTACCCTTACGTCCAAATCTCAATACTTTCTTCCAGGGTGAAACTTTTAAAAAGACATGATCTCCAACCTCAAACTGTATATCTTTTCTTCTCTGATCGGTAAAAGATTTCTGCCTATCAAATGCCTCTTTCAGACGGTCACGGATCAATCTGTCCTCTGTCTCCCCCACTAACTCAGGTCCCAAAGTCTTCCTATCACACAACTCAGTCCAACAAATCGGGGTGCAACACCTACGCCCATAGAGTGCTTCATAGGGTGCCATATGAATGCTGGTCTGGTAACTGTTATTATAAGCGAATTCAGCCAAAGGCAAAAAGTTCTCCCAGCTACCATGAAAATCAATTACACAACCCCGTAACATATCCTCCAGAATCTGAATTACTCTCTCAGATTGACCATCAGTTTGTGGGTGGAAGGAGGTACTATAATCCAATCTCGTACCCAAAGCCGTATGTAGCGCCTTCCAAAATCTCGAAGTAAATCTCGGATCTCGATCTGAAATGATAGATAATGGAATACCATGCAATCTAACAATCTCTGAAATACAACCTCGCCAACTTGTCCAACGTATAATTTACCCGTACAGGAATGAAGTG